ATTATATTATATTATATTACATTCTAGTCTATTCTAATATTTTATATTATATTCTAATATATTCTATTCTATTCTAATATATTATATTCTATTCTAATATATTATATTATATTCGAATATATTCTCATCTATTCTATTCTAATCTATTCTATTCTAATATATTATATTCTACTCTAATATATTATGTTCTGTTATATTCTAATCGATTCTAATCTAATATATTCTAATCTAATATATTCTAATCTACTCTAATATATTCTGTTCTATTCTACTCTAATCTATTCTATATGGTTGGTCAGTATAGAGATCTCTAAGTGCGAGTGACCTCTGGTGACACAGTTGTGTGTGTCAGTGTCACAAGGGTGGTACCACATTACTAATGATATTACGAAGAAAGCATTATCATATTACTCAATGAATATGCTATTATGAGAGTAGAATTACATTGACATGAATTAAACTGTGTGTGTATGTGGTTTATAACTTTGGAGATGTTATCCCCAACTGTTCCAGCAATACACTCAATTACAAATAATCTGATCAAATGAAATATATTAAATGCCACAGCCGCAAACTGCACAGAAATAAAAAGGCAATTTTTAATTCAGTGTGCACATGAATAGGTGATGTAGTGACTTAGCTAGAGAGGCCCCTGGATAAAATGCATTTTCACTTAAATAAGATCATATTATACTAATCTAAAACACGTAATGCAATATAAGACTGATTCCTAGTCAACAACCAGACCTATGTCCATTAGACAGGAAAGGTCTGGTAAATTCCGCCCTCCCTCCTCAATGGCATTTCCATTGGACCCATTCAGTGAGGTCTAAAAATCATGCAACAATCGCACCTTTGTTTGTGCCAGATAGAGAAAGAGAGAGTGAGAGCGAGAGCGAGAGCTAGAGAGAGGCAGAGACAGAGAGACAATGCAGCCCCTATTGTGGCCTAGTGAGCAAGCAGAGCCTGGACCCACGGTGACGTGCTAACCCCAGACTCCTCACTGCCGGGTGGGGAGGAGGAATCCTCTCTCTGTCCTGGTTCCCCATCAACCTGCAGTGAGATGGAGAAAGACAGAGGTTTCACAGCAGACCTAGGTTCAAATAGTATTTGATTTTACCATTTTGATTGAGTTTACCTGGAGTGCCAGATGGGCGGGGTTTGCACTTTTGGGACTATTCTGTTGCTTAAATTGCACCAGGCAAGCACAGCTAAAGTGTCTGATACTATTTAGCCAACCAGCTGTATTACAGACAAATGCTGCCCCCTGCTGGAAAAATTATTTAATGTCTGTGGTAAGAATATACAGTGAGAACACACTGTAAGAATATACAGTAAGAACATACTGTAATAACACTGTAAGAACATACATTAAGAATATACAGTAAGAACACACTGTAAGAACATACGGTAAGAATATACAGTAAGAACAAAGTCAGAATATACAGTAAGAACACCGTCAGAACAACAGTCAGAACATACAGTCAGAACATACAGAAAGAACACATACTGTGTAGCAGGTAGCTTAGTGGGTAAGAGCGTTGCGTCAGTAACCGAAAGGTCGCTGATTCTAATCCCCGAGCCGACTAGGTGAAAAATCTGTCGATGTGCCCTTGAGCAAGGCACTTAACCCTAATTGCTCCTGTAAGTCGCTATGGATAAGAGCGTCTGCTAAATGACTAAAATGTAAATGTAATACTGTAAGAACACAGGAAAGGGTAAAATAAGTTATGAATATAATATACAAGCGTTTGTACCAATTAGTTTCAATTAACATTCTTAACTACGGTTAGGGTTTGACTATGGACAACTTGGTTAATCTGAAACATGGTTAATCTTGACTGAGAGAGTTGTAATGCAACAGTCATTCAATTAGGGTGTATTAACCCACATTGCATTGCTGACACTGACTGAATCAAAGGCATGCCTCAACCCACTGACCAAACTCTACCGCCAGTCTACCAGTCTGACAGAGAACCCAGAATAATGCACTGACACTGAGAATCCTGTATAAAAGGCCCTGGAGACCTCTCATGTTTCCAACCATGAAGAAATTGAGATTTATGTTGTAGTCATAACAAAGGAGGAACACCACTCTGACATGCACACACACACACACACACACACACACACACACACACACACACACACACACTAAAAGACCCTGGGTCGTGGTCACAGCCATGTGAAGTGCAGGAGTGCTGTCGAAGTCATGATGGATGAGCTACAGAACACTGAGACAACACTGGATCATCAGACCACTGAGACAACACTGGATCATTCTATAGTCATCAGAACACTGAGACAACACTGGATCATCCTATAGTCATCACAACACTGAGACAACACTGGATCATCCTATAGTCATCAGAACACAGACAACACTGGATCATCCTATAGTCATCACAACACTGAGACAACACTGGATCATCCTATAGTCATCACAACACTGAGACAACACTGGATCATCCTATAGTCATCAGAACACTGAGACAACACTGGATCATCCTATAGTCATCAGAACACTGAGACAACACTGGATCATCCTATAGTCATCACAACACTGAGACAACACTGGATCATCCTATAGTCATCACAACACTGAGACAACACTGGATCATCCTATAGTCATCACAACACTGAGACAACACTGGATTATCCTATAGTCATCAGAACACTGAGACAACACTGGATCATCCTATAGTCATCACAACACTGAGACAACACTGGATCATCCTATAGTCATCAGAACACTGAGACAACACTGGATCATCCTATAGTCATCACAACACTGAGACAACACTGGATCATCCTAAAGTCATCACAACACTGAGACAACACTGGATCATCCTATAGTCATCACAACACTGAGACAACACTGGATCATCCTATAGTCATCAGAACACTGAGACAACACTGGATCATCCTATAGTCATCAGAACACTGAGACAACACTGGATCATCCTATAGTCATCAACAAACTGAGACAACACTGATCCCTCCTATTAGTCCATCAAACACTGATACACACCCCTGAACATCCAGCCATCGAACACTCTAGCCCATACAACCTGGATCATCCTATAGTCATCGAACACTGAGACAACCTAGCATCACCTCCAGCCATCCAACTCCAGCCAACAACCTCCAGCCCATACAAACTCAGCTCATACCAAGCCTCACTAGCCCATACCAACCTCTAGCCCATACCAACCTCTAGCCCATACCAACCTCCAGCCCATACCAACCTCTAGCCCATACCAACCTCTAGCCCATACCAACCTCTAGCCCATACCAACCTCTAGCCCATACCAACCTCTAGCCCATAACCAACCTCTAGCCCATACCAACCTCTAGCCCATACAACACTAGCCATACCAACCTCTAGCCCATACAACCTCTAGCCTACCATAGCCAACCAACCTCTAGCCCATACCAACCTCTAGCCCATAACAACCTCTAGCCCATAACAACCTCTAGCCCATACCAACCTCTAGCCCATACCAACCTCTAGCCCATACCAACCTCTAGCCCATAACCAACCTCTAGCCCATACCAACCTCTAGCCCATAACCAACCTCTAGCCCATACCAACCTCTAGCCCATACCAACCTCTAGCCCATACCAACCTCTAGCCCATAACCAACCTCTAGCCCATAACCAACCTCTAGCCCATACCAACCTCTAGCCCATACCAACCTCTAGCCCATAACCAACCTCTAGCCCATAACCAACCTCTACCCATAACACCTCTAGCCCATACCAACCTCTAGCCCATACCAACCTCTAGCCCATAACCAACCTCTAGCCCATAACCAACCTCTAGCCCATAACAACCTCAAATTAATACCACCTTGGCACCTCTAGTCTGTGTCCTAAATGGCAGCATATTCCCTATTTAGTGCGATACTTTTGACCAGGACCCATAGAGTCAAATGTATTTATAAAGCCCTATTTACACCAGCAGATGTCACAAAGTGCTTATACAGAAACCCAGCCTAAAACCCCAAACAGCAAGCAATGCAGAAGCACGGTGGCTAGGGAAAAAACTCCCTAGAAAGGCAGAAACCTAGAGAGGAAGGGTAGTGGACTAGACCATAAAGGGATTAGGATGCCATTTGGTACACAGCTGTAGATTTGAAAGGATTGAGAAGGTCTAGGGAGTATGGGTGGGGGGGATTGTTTCTGAACTAGGCCCCTGTCACACCTCAGCGGAATGATCAACGCTACCTACCTGTAGACATGAGAAAACGCAAGAGGACAGGAAACAAGGCCTTTTCCCATGACTTGTGAGTTGGATTGACACAGACAAGTCATTTAGTTTCTCCAAATAACAGTCCAAGATTTGTTCAAAGTATACTCAGTGTCATTAGTGGCAACATCCCAAATAACACCCTATTTTCTATATAGTGCACTACTTTTGACCAGGGCCCCAGTCAAAAGTAGTGCACTATATAGGGAATAGGGTTCAATTTGGGATAGGCCCATTGTTAGACGTTGTCTATATGGTATCCAGCAGTTATACTGCATGTTATTGAATCAACACAAAGCATCAGCATATTCCCTTACTGCTTCCATTTTACATTTTAGTCATTTAGCAGACGCTCTTATCCAGAGCGACTTTACAGTGAGTGCATTCATTTTTCATGCTGGCCCCCCGTGGGAAACGAACCCACAACCCTGGCGTTGCAAGCGCCATGCTCTACCAACTGAGCTACACGGGCCATACTTACTGTTTCCCAGAAGGAGACAGTGGGATCTTCTCTGGAGGGAACTCACTTGGGCAGATGGACAACAGAGAAGATTGTCCGACAGAAACTGACAGTACGTCTGCCTCAGCCTGATACATCAGGATATTCCCTTACTCTAAACGTCCTAAGTGATTATGGAAAATCATTTCTCGAGTTGGACATACAATTGTGCCCTCGCAAAATAGTTTAACCACTATAACTGCTTCAGAGACTTTTGTTAAATAAACGTTACACAAAATAATAACACAATTCATATTCAATTTCCATAAATGTTTATTTCCATTCAAAGGACCAGATGACCTTACTCACAGTTGAGTAATTTCACAAACTGTCTTTGTAGATGAAACAGGACTTGACTTTATACACAGGACACTATACAACCTTTCATCAGAGGAAAGTATATTATTTAGAAAGCGCTGGGGGCTTTTAGTTTACAGCTCAGCGATGGGCTTGTGGGGCCAGTACGGGTGCTTCTCCTTGTCCAGCTTGGTCTCGGGGAACGTGTCGTTCAGATCATCGATGGTCATCTGGTCGAAGGGAATCATGTTCTGGAACTTCTCCAGCTGGAAGACAGGAAGGTGGATCAACAGAGAGAAGAGAACTACATGTCTCTAAATACTGCAGTTTTTCTCAGGGGTTCTACTGTTGAGTGTGTACTAATATCCTAAAATATGAAGAGAAAGTCTAGGGAAATCCGTGTGTAGGGGAGTGTGTGCGTGCGTGTAACCCACCTCCTTCCCGTACTGGGCGATGCGAGCTTTGGAAGCCTCGACGTAGGCAACAGCAGCTTTGTTCTGCAACAAAGAAGAAAAATAACCAATAATAATGAAGGAAGCCTCAAGAGCAGTTACAGTGCTTTGCATAATGAGGCTTCTTTCTCTTGAAATGGAACTCTGAACCCATTTATCACCACCTCATCCATGACAACGAACAATACAACATCAAAGTGTCTGAGTCAAAGTGCCATAATACACATTTAGTGTATTATTAATTAGCTAGCTACTGTAATATTAATACAGGAATGAACTGGAGCACAGTGAAGAGTCATCCTGAATCAAAACAGTAGCACAGTGAAGAGTCATTCTGAATCAGTAAAGCAGAACCGTGAAGAGTCATTCTGAATCAGTACAGCAGAACAGTGAAGAGTCATTCTGCAGAGTATCTTTTAATCCAGAGCTACAACTCACCGCCTCGGCCTCCTGTGTGTTGATCGCGGCTGTGGCTGTGTCCTTGGGCTCAGGGATGGTCAGGGCTGAGAACTGAGGAGGAAAGGAGATGGAGAGAGGAGAGGGTTGAGATGAGGACAGGAGGAGAGGGGTGAGATGAGGACAGGAGGAGAGGAGAGGGGTGAGATGAGGAGGTCAGGAGATGAGACAGAGGAATGAGACCAGACCAATGCTAACTGTTAAGCACTTTGGGACTAATGTTGTTGTACAGTGGGCTATATAAATGAGTGTCGTCATAATACCAGTATCGCGATCCTACGATGCCAGATTTTCCTTAGCAAAAAGAAAACAGGAAGCAGACTAAACTCTACGGTCCTTTAGAACCTACTGTATATAAATTATTGTGTGCTATAGCTTGCAAAATAAACAAATGTCACTCTGGGTGACAACATAAGGCAACATCAGGAGTGTTTTCCTGAAGAAAGTCTGTCCGCTTCATGTTGCTTCCTGGTACCATGACAACACTAATATAAATACATTTTATTGATTGAAGCATGTAGTTCCAGCACCATCCCTGGTCCAAGAACGTATTTCATCATAATGATCACATCGATGTCTGATAGGGATCAACGATAACATGTTCTACTCTGAAACAACTTAGTTATGTTGTGACTGAACCAATGTTACAGCACACCACACTGAATACTACATAAGACTAATATCGTTGTGACTGAACCAGTGTTACACCACACTGAATACTACATAAGACTAATATCGTTGTGACTGAACCAGTGTTACACCACACTGAATACTACATAAGACTAATATTGTTGTGACTGAACCAGTGTTACAGCACACCACACTGAATAATACATAAGACTAATATTGTTGTGACTCAACCAGGGTTAAAGCACGCCACACAGTGGACAGAATACTAGATTAGACTAATATGGTTGTGACTGAACTAGGACGGTCATGAAATTGTCAGCCGGTGATTGTCAAGCAAATAACTGCCGGTCTCACGGTAATTGACCATTAATTAACATAAAACACATTTAGCATCTCCTGTCTTCCACGAATAGCCTACAAGCCACTGATGGAGACCTTTGGAACATCTACATTTGAAAAAGTCAAATAAATCCATCACAATAAATCCATTCTTTATTTTAGACAGGTCTGAAGAAACATGATAAGAAAATGTAGTCCGTTTCAGAAGAACAGAATAGCATACTCTGAGTTGTCCTTATGTTAGGTCCTGATCTGGCTATGCCATATGGCTGTGGGCTACACTAGTTCATTTAGCAGACAAGATTTGCTTAGAATTCCGTGGCATTATTTTATAGTATGAAGAATACAATTGAACATACAGTGGGGAAAAAAGTATTTAGTCAGCCACCAATTGTGCAAGTTCTCCCACTTAAAAAGATGAGAGAGGCCTGTAATTTTCATCATAGGTACACGTCAACTATGACAGACAAAATGAGAAAAAAAATTCCAGAAAATCACATTGTAGGATTTTTTATGAATTTATTTGCAAATTATGGTGGAAAATAAGTATTTGGTCAATTACAAAAGTTTCTCAATACTTTGTTATATACCCTTTGTTGGCAATGACACAGGTCAAACGTTTTCTGTAAGTCTTCACAAGGTTTTCACACACTGTTGCTGGTATTTTGGCCCATTCCTCCATGCAGATCTCCTCTAGAGCAGTGATGTTTTGGGGCTGTCGCTGGGAAACACGGACTTTCAACTCCCTCCAAAGATTTTCTATGGGGTTGAGATCTGGAGACTGGCTAGGCCACTCCAGGACCTTGAAATGCTTCTTACGAAGCCACTCCTTCGTTGCCCGGGCGGTGTGTTTGGGATCATTGTCATGCTGAAAGACCCAGCCACGTTTCATCTTCAATGCCCTTGCTGATAGAAGGAGGTTTTCACTCAAAATCTCACGATACATGGCCCCATTCATTCTTTCCTTTACACGGATCAGTCGTCCTGGTCCCTTTGCAGAAAAACAGCCCCAAAGCATGATGTTTCCACCCCCATGCTTCACAGTAGGTATGGTGTTCTTTGGATGCAACTCAGCATTCTTTGTCCTCCAAACACGACAAGTTGAGTTTTTACCAAAAAGTTATATTTTGGTTTCATCTGACCATATGACATTCTCCCAATCCTCTTCTGGATCATCCAAATGCACTCTAGCAAACTTCAGACGGGCCTGGACATGTACTGGCTTAAGCAGGGGGACAAGTCTCGCACTGCAGGATTTGAGTCCCTGGCGGCGTAGTGTGTTACTGATGGTAGGCTTTGTTACTTTGGTCCCAGCTCTCTGCAGGTCATTCACTAGGTCCCCCTGTGTGGTTCTGGGATTTTTGCTCACCGTTCTTGTGATCATTTTGACCCCACGGGGTGAGATCTTGCGTGGAGCCCCAGATCGAGGGAGATGATCAGTGGTCTTGTATGTCTTCCATTTCCTAATAATTGCTCCCACAGTTGATTTCTTCAAACCAAGCTGCTTACCTATTGCAGATTCAGTCTTCCCAGCCTGGTGCAGGTCTACAATTTTGTTTCTGGTGTCCTTTGACAGCTCTTTGGTCTTGGCCATAGTGGAGTTTGGAGTGTGACTGTTTGAGGTTGTGGACAGGTGTCTTTTATACTGATAACAAGTTCAAACAGGTGCCATTAATACAGGTAACAAGTGGAGGACAGAGGAGCCTCTTAAAGAAGAAGTTACAGGTCTGTGAGAGACAGAAATCTTGCTTGTTTGTAGGTGACCAAATACTTATTTTCCACCATAATTTGCAAATAAATTCATAAAAAATTCTGCAATGTGATTTTCTGGAATTTTTTTTCTCAATTTGTCTGTCATAGTTGACGTGTACCTATGATGAAAATTACAGGCCTCTCTCATCTTTTTAAGTGGGAGAACTTGCACAATTGGTGGCTGACTAAAAACTTTTTTTCCCCACTGTAGCTGAATAAAATAAAAATGATATTTTCTCCAAAGGATTTGAGGGAGTGCGCACATGCGGCTATTCTGTGTTGAGCGGTTAACAAGAAACAGGTACTCCTATATGCTTAATTTAGAGTTATTTATGCAACTTCAGTTGTGATACAAACGTTGGGCTATATGTTTAGATTTATTTATACATTCTAAGGCTGCATGATGAGACTAATGATGATTTGAAAAAAGTCACATGAAAGGCATGAGCTCTGCTTTGTTTTTTTGCACAGGCTGTACACACTTCATCAGTCTCTCTTTCGCAATTTCACAAGCACTTGATAATGCCTCAATTTTTCCCGCCGCCAAATATATCATTCACAAGTGATAGGCTGATATTGTCACCCATCAGACTATTCTTGATTTCATTTTGTCTTTACATATACTAAGTAATATATGTGTGAAATTTGTTTTGATTTAGAATGGACCATTATCATGCACCTGTCTTGAAACATGGGCAGGGGAAAAAACACATGTCATCTATGCACTTAAATAGCGAATGAAGGACACTATTCCGTGGTTCATTTTCATGCCAGCCAGGTAGGCTATACTCCTGTTGTAAAGAGAAGCAATGTGCTTAATTTTAGGAAAATTGAGAAAAAAAATTGTAAGCCTATAGAAAGCTGATGGGATCCTCCTCTTTTTAGTAGAGGCCATCACTCTGTTTTCTCACGCAATTGCATAGCCTATAGAAATGTTGCGCAAAATGAGCTCATGGGCTCTCACTAAGTGTTTAATTAGATTTCCAATTACAGTCGCATTGATGCCGAGTGGCGCAGTGGTCTAAGGCACTGCATCGCAGTGCTAGCTGTGTCACTAGAGATCCTGGTTCGAATCCAGGCTCTGTCGTAGCCGGCCGCGATCGGGAGACCCATGGGGCGGCACACAATTGGCCCAGCGTCGTCCAGGGTAGGGGAGAGAATGGCCGGCAGGGATGTAGCTCAGTTGGTAGAGCATGGCGTTTGCAACGCCAGGGTTGTGGGTTCGATTCTCACGGGGGGCCAGTATAAAAAATGTATGTATGCACTCACTAACTGTAAGTCGCTCTGGATAAGAGCGTCTGCTAAATGACTAAAATGTAAAAGTCAGTGGTTAGAGGGACAATGGAGTGCTGAGTACCAGGCAGTTAGCAAGTTTCGGTAGGCTACTAATTACCATCAGCAGCATCAGAGCTTGGAGAAGCCTAATTACCGTGATTGTCACATGGAATTTGACAGCCATCATGACTCGTGACTGCCGGTGTGGCGGTAAGACGGCCACCATAACAGCCCTAGACTGAACCAGTGTTACAGCACATGCCACACAGTGGACAGAATACCACATGAGACTAATATAGTTAAGAGTGTGTAACTTTCTTTTCCCCAGGTGGAACGCATTTAATACTCATCACAGGCCTTGGAATCTCACCTTGGATTCAAACTCGGCCACCATGCCGGCTCTGGCCACATTGGTCTTGTAGAAGCTCCAGTCGATGGTGACAGGCTTCTCTGGCAGAGAGGACAGCCTGTAGAGACAGCCATCAACAACAGCTCATTGATGGCACTTATAAAACAATAATTGTGGGAGTGAGATTGTGGAGCTTTTCATTTACACTAACATGCATGTATGAGACCCACTCACTTTGCAGCAACCTATGTGTCTTGGTTGACAATACCTTGTAATTCAATTCCAACTACACGACTTTCACATTGGCATATAAAAAGCTAAAAGGGAGAATCGTAAAAAATGTTTTACTCAGTTTCCCATTGACATCAATGCAAGTGAAAAGGTTGTCCTCAGTTGGCTGGCTCTGAAGTCGTAGTCATGAACTAGACCTAAACGCTAACTCGGGGTAGGCTACGTACTTGGCACCGATGGCGTCTGAGCGCGTCTTGAGGTTGTTGAACATGGCCCTCTGGTTGGGGGGAACCCTTTCAGCAAAGGCCAACCAGTCAATGGCTTTCAATGCTGCACGTTTCCCAGCCATCTTTCTGTCTGCGTCTGTCAAAAGGTTGGAAAAAGGGTAAATATTCTATATAGCTGCTAAAACCCCACAAGAGAGATACAGACCATAACACGAAAGAACAAAACAGTTAATGTAATGTTATGAACACTGACCGATCAGGCAGGTTCAAGTCACAGGTGACACTGACTGGCAGCGCATTGAGATCAGAAGCTAGTAAGCCGGACTCCTCAACAACACGGTCACCTAGTGGCTAATGTTAGAGATGTTGCTATTATCTGGCTAACTGATTTGAGTCCTAACCAACACAAAAAGCCAATAGAAGTTCTGACAGCGCCAAACTCATGTTTGCTGACAGATAGCAAGCTATTTAATGTTTTAACTAGCTCTCAAGCTACTAAGCTAACGTTAGGCTAGCTAGCAAATAGTCGTTAGCTTTGCCTAGCTACTAAAATCCAACAATGTAGCTAAGTGGATATTTTAAATTTAGCTACATCAGCTTATTTAGTTATATTTTAGACATACAAAATAATATTTTACGTTCAAAGAGCAAGAGTCAGATGAAGGTCTAGCAGTTAGCTAGCTAACTCAGTTGGCTAGCCAACACAGCAAGGTCAGAGCCCAGCTGCAGTGGATATGAACTAATCTTCGACCAAACATAATTCCAGGTATTTCATATCAAATTTGATCGTCTGTCCCAATGGAATATACAATGCAAACATTAAAATGTGGATGTTTAGATGCCATTTGAAGATAGAACATACCGTACAGCGGACAAGTTCTTCCAAATGTGAAGTCGGTTCACCGGACACGGAAGCGACAGAATAAACTCAACGAGAAACTACACCGTGAATTTGGGGGTGCTACCACCTGCTGGCGCATTCCACTTATTGCACAGCAGATTGATCAGAATAGTTATGTTGTATGTATATATATATATATATATATATTTAAAGATACTTTTAGAAATAGTGCATACATTTCCAAGATTGCAGCTGTCACCACTTTCTGACACAAGTATGACAGTTATCCTATCACGTAGATAGGTCTTCTGGAAGAGGCAGAGTTGTGTTTGCTTCGTCAAGAATCACCCCATTGGCCCGATTCGTCTTTTCACGCCACTCCAGGGTTAGCAGAAATGCTCAAACAAAAAAAAACGAAACTTCAGAACAGGAAGCATAGAAATAGCTATTTTGATATTTTGTGTAGAAATTGTGCACCAATATTGCATTTTAAAAGCCTGTTATATTAAAGGAAGTGTCCTTTAATATAGAAGGCATGGAACATCTATAGATCTGATTTTGAATATAAATAAATATGCTAAAGTGGCCAAATTCAGCATTATGACATGTCCCTGACTTCTAGGAAGATTTTAACCCACTTAACCCCAACATTTCTCCACGTTTTCACCATGATTGTAAAACCTTAGTTATTTTGTTGCTTTGACAAAATCATTTCTGAAGATTATTATTTATTTCATGTGATTGGTGATTCATTTTAATGTAATTTAAAAAAAACAAAATTAAACCTGTCCCTCATTTTAAGATAAACCCTGTTACGTTAATTGAACTCTAGTTTTAATGTGGTGATAATAAAAAATATATTTCAAAAGAACATCTAATAGTCAAATCATATTCTAAAAGCAGTTGAGCTGGTTTCATTCTTTCTGGCCATTTTCTGGTGTTTTGTTGTGGAAAACTGAGTGGGTCGAGAATAACACGTCAACACTGTTACCAATAGATAGACAGGATAGCCTAGAATATTTCCTGTTGCACATAACAAGCTGCATTCCACCTGTCACAAGGGGATGTATGGTTGATTTAACATCGTCAACCACACCGTCAACCATGTAACTTTATTTGGCACTTAATAGGCAATTACTATAGTATTCTTTATTTTTTTACCTAGTTGGGGAAATGTTTTTTTTAACAACCCATGTGATTTGCTCATATCGTGAACGTGGAAGAACATTTGTAGCCTACTAGGCAGTTACAAAATGGCTGTTGAAGCTATGGCGCACATTTCTTGACAACATAAATAAACCAGGCCTTCATTTTAAAGCCAGTTACGTGAAGTTAACTACAGATTATTATCCATTATATTACAGTTTTTCTCAATTGTTTACACACAAATACTGGTACTTGAGACACAATGACCACAACATGTAACTCATGCACCAACCCCCTGAACCAATTCTGCTAAACTACAAGCACAATTCCTGCTTTACACTCAAATTGCAGTTCTACAATACACTTTTTTCAAAACACTATACACAAATCTTTGCATTTGGCACAATTTTCATGCAGAAAATCTCTTGTTTTCACAATGAACACACTGCCATTCAAATATGCACACTGACTCATCACATGGGCAAACACCCGTCACACAGTTTTACAATTAGCAATCAGAGCTTTAGCATAAAAGGGCAACAGGTGAGCTCTTCTGTTTTGGAGCAATGGATGCCAACATTGGAAACAGAGGCAGAGCAAGAGGAGTGAGAGTGAGAGTGAGAGTGAGAGTGAGAGTAAGAGGAGGAGGACGGGGAGGACAAGGACGAGGACGAGGACGAGGAAGGCCAAGGACCGTAATCTCTGATGAGATCCGAGCCACTTTGGTTGATCATGTGGTCAACCATGGTCTAACAATGAGGGAGGTGTGGTGGCCGAACAATGCTGCTGCAATGCTGTGTTGACAAGGAATCCGCTGACGCTGTACTTGATTATAACTTTTATTACATCAAGGATTTCAGCATCAATTTACAGACTTCTGCAGAATCTGGAGAACATCTAACCCAATCTCAAATATGATTATTCTCCCTGTCCTTTGTTCAAAACCTGGTATATATCCTATGTAACATAAGATGGGTGTTTTGAATAGACCAATCCCTGGCCTCCACATATCCCCATGTCCACTGTCTTAGGGGGCCCCTATAGTAATACTTTCCAAATGTTTCAGCAAAGCAAAGTAGAGTCCATTTAACCAACAATATGAAAACCTCAGCCAAAGCTATAAATGTTCAGATACTACAGTGGGGAAAAAATGTATTTAGTCAGCCACCAATTGTGCAAGTTCTCCCACTTAAAAAGATGAGAGAGGCCTGTAATTTTCATCATAGGTACACGTCAACTATGACAGACAAATTGAGACATTTTTTTCCAGAAAATCACATTGTAGGATTTTTAATGAATTTATTTGCAAATTATGGTGGAAAATAAGTATTTGGTCACCTACAAACAAGCAAGATTTCTGGCTCTCACAGACCTGTAACTTCTTCTTTAAGAGGCTCCTCTGTCCTCCACTCATTACCTGTATTAATGGCACCTGTTTGAACTTGTTATCAGTATAAAAGACACCTGTCCACGACCTCAAACAGTCACACTCCAAACTCCACTATGGCCAAGACCAAAGAGCTGTCAAAAGACACCAGAAACAAAATTGTAGACCTGCACCAGGCTGGGAAGACTGAATCTGCAATAGGTAAGCAGCTTGGTTTGAAGAAATCAACTGTGGGAGCAATTATTAGGAAATGGAAGACATACAAGACCACTGATAATCTCCCTCGATCTGGGGCTCCACGCAAGATCTCACCCCGTGGGGTCAAAATGATCACAAGAACGGTGAGCAAAAATCCCAGAACCACACGGGGGGACCTAGTGAATGACCTGCAGAGAGCTGGGACCAAAGTAACAAAGCCTACCATCAGTAACACACTACGCCGCCAGGGACTCAAATCCTGCAGTGCCAGACGTGTCCCCCTGCTTAAGCCAGTACATGTCCAGGCCCATCTGAAGTTTGCTACAGTGCATTTGGATGATCCAGAAGAGGATTGGGAGAATGTCATATGGTCAGATGAAACCAAAATATAACTTTTTGGTAAAAACTCAACTTGTCGTGTTTGGAGGACAAAGAATGCTGAGTTGCATCCAAAGAACACCATACCTACTGTGAAGCATGGGGGTGGAAACATCATGCTTTGGGGCTGTTTTTCTGCAAAGGGACCAGGACGACTGATCCGTGTAAAGGAAAGAATGAATGGGGCCATGTATCGTGAGATTTTGAGTGAAAACCTCCTTCCATCAGCAAGGGCATTGAAGATGAAACGTGGCTGGGTCTTTCAGCATGACAATGATCCCAAACACACCGCCCGGGAAATGGAGTGGCTTCGTAAGAAGCATTTCAAGGTCCTGGAGTGGCCTAGCCAGTCTCCAGATCTCAACCCCATAGAAAATCTTTGGAGGGAGTTGAAAGTCCGTGTTGCCCAGCGACAGCCCCAAAACATCACTGCTCTAGAGGAGATCTGCATGGAGGAATGGGCCAAAATACCAGCAACAGTGTGTGAAAACATTTGACCTGTGTTATTGCCAACAAAGGGTATATAACAAAGTATTGAGAAACTTTTGTGATTGACCAAATGCTTATTTCCCACCATAATTTGCAAATAAATTCATAAAAAATCCTACAGTGTGATTTTCTGGATTTTTTTTCTCATTTTGTCTGTCATAGTTGACGTGTACCTATGATGAAAATTACAGGCTCGCTCATCTTTTTAAGTGGGAGAACTTGCACAATTGGTGGCTGACTAAATACTTTTTTTCCCCACTGTAGCTCTCATTTATAAATTCAATGGATCTCAATCAAATAGTTTCATAGTTAAGCAACAGCCACTTAACAAACAGAACACTTTATTTATGTGTAAGTCTCCCCCTTTCTTATTTGTGCAGCTCTAAGTCTGCGTGTCACAGCAGCTCAGTGCAGGCAGGGGAGTGGCACATTCGCTCCGCGCAACTCTAAACTCATAAACTCATAGTGCGATTTCAGGGTGTGAGGAGCTCTCCTGCAAGTAACTTTTCCCTAAGTCAAACAGCAGACAGACCAGCTGTCCCTCCGTTTTTTCCAACACAGACAAACAGTACCACTGAACAAAACGCACAAACCAACACAAAACATAGAATACAAATCCTACTTCGAAGTTTCTTAACGTAACTATAGTCTATTTTCTCTCTCTTCTTTCTTTACTTATTTTACTCTAATCTGTAGATTTATAGTTATTTTCTTATCCATTGCAAATCCTCTCTATACAATCATAACGTCCTCCCGGGGGCTCATAGTGTCACGTACGTTAAGGAACGGGACGGACCAAGGTGCAGCGTGAACGGCAAACATGTTTATTAACTAATAAACACACAAAACAGTAACCAAAACAACAAACTTAACCGTGACGGTCCAAAGGCTAACACACAAGCCTAAACATGAACATAACAACATCCCACAACACAGGCAGGAAAACTGGCTGCCTAAGTATGATCCCCAATCAGAGACAACGAGCGACAGCTGCCTCTGATTGGGAACCACACCCGGCCAAACATAGAAATACAAACCTAGAATATATTCACACCCTGACCAAACTAGCTAGAGTTCTATAGGCCAGGGCGTGACACATAGATTTTAATAATTTTGAAAACGAATCCTCTCTATACAATCATAACGTGCTCCCGGGGGCTCATAGATTTTAACAATTTTGAAAACGTTCTCTCAAATGGAGACTCATAAGGTTTTAACCGTAATTAACATATTTCCTTACAAAAACTAAAACCCCTGTTCTCAACCAAAACATATATATGTATATATCTCTAACATAAATCTTATCATAGCATGAGTTGACACACAGCTTAAACACAGCAGAGACCTCTTTATTTGCACAAACACACACTCTCTTTCTCTCACCCACACATAATCAACAAGAATGCATCCATTCATACAATATCTAAAGCATGCTTCCGTCGCTCCTTTTTCTCCTTTTTCCTTCCTAAATTTGTGCTACCTCGAGTTGCAGATATT